CAATTTATATCAGAATAGCATTTTCTTTCTTCATCTGTCAGAATAGTTCAATATCATGTATAATGATGTTTCCCGTACTCTACTCCTGTAAGAATATGCCAGTCAACAAGGGTGAGATTGTATAGAGAAATTACGCATCGACGGAAAATAATCAATGAACGCAATAGTTTGTATGTCTCCTGCCATTGCAAATGAGAAACTACTCAAACAAAACTATGAATAACCCATTTTCACAACATGTTCCATCATTGATTCACAGACATACAGCCGATGTGATATCACGATTGAATACCGTCCAGGGATTCAAAGTAAATGGGTAAGTTTAATATAAGCATCATATTCACTCTGAGCCAACCCAGCGAAAGCTCAACGAAACCCCAAATGTTTGTCCGCCAGTGGTTACACGCGAAAGAATGATCTGAGCCATCAGCTGCTTACAGTCGCGGTCTGTCAGCGCAAGGTCAGTGCAATGTGATTAATGTGCGCTTCGTTTTAAAAATAAATTAATCTGGCTAGCGTACAACGCACAGCGCGTATAGAGCTGGCGAGGGCGTGGTGACGCCAACCACGACGCAAGATGACGCAGCCGCTGCTTGACGCGAGACCAGGCGGCTATTTAGACAAGCCGGGACATTTCGGAAGTCGTTTTCGAAACGACTACTGATATCACAGGCACTTGGAACGTCTCAATACAAAAAGGCAAATAAACACGAAATGTATTTACTACCAAACTGACAGTACGTCTTAATGTTTCCCTAGTCTCCTTCGCCTATTATTGCCGATAACTTGCTTTAAATGCCGTTCAAATGCTCCTCTACAAACACACAAGTGTACCGAACGCACGCCCTGTGCACAAACAACAAAAATAATAGAGTTTTCTTTCTATTAATTATTCTTGTTGTTTGTGCACAGGGCGCGCGTGCGGTGTACTTGTGTGTTGTGGATGAGCATGTGAACGGCTTTACAGCCCGTTCTCGGCAATAATATGCGAAGGAGAGTAGAGAAACATTAAGACTTTGGTAGCAAATACATTTCGTCTTTATTTACCATTATTTTTTTATTGAGACGTTCCAAATGCCTGTGAACGTTACAGCAGTATAGCTAAACACGGTGCGGCTGAATAGATGCGTGAATACATGGCGTTATATGGCGGAGCCCGATGAAAGACAGCAGCGGTGGCGCCAGCGTCGCACTACGCTATCAGCTAGCCTCAGCTGCAGATGTGAGGTGCATTCTAAAACAAATGCATTTCAATCACAAAGGAACAAATCAAGTTTGACAATCTAATAGACACTGGAGACATAATCACACCGAAAGACTTTTGAAGTCCCGCAAAGGCGACGAACAAAAATGCTGTCGGCGAAATGGAATTCAGGGATTGGCAAACTGAGCGCAGGCTCATTATCTGTGAAAATGGGCTGATTGCATTTTGCAATAATAAATCGGGATTCAAACAAAACCGCTAATTAAACTGAAATAATATAACGCGAATGCAATTATGTAGGTTGACTCTATAAACAGATTTAATGAGAGAGCGAGATCGCGCGTTTACTACAGCACACAAACAATAAACAACTAAGTAAGCACATCCCAGCACAGAAAGCACATTACAGCACAGAAAGCACATTACAGCACAGAAAGCACACTACAGCACAGAAAGCACACTACAGCACAGAAAGCACACTACAGCACAGAAAGCACACTACAGCACAGAAAGCACATTACAGCACAGAAAGCACATCTACTAGCCACAGAGAAGCACATTACAGCCACAGAGCACACTACAGCACGAGACAGCACACAGCACAGATCACACACCATAGCACAGACCAGACACCTACAGCCACAATAAAGCACACTACAGCACAGAGAGCACAACACAGCTCACCCCTAGCACAGACCAGCACACTACAGCAAAGAAAGCACACTACAGCACCAGAAAGCACAGTTACAGGCCACCCCAGATAGCCACACCGCCTAGCACGACAGCACACTACAGGCACAGACAGCACAGCTACAGCACAGAAAACACAGCTACAGCCAACGAAGTCCACCAACACAGCACAAGAAAGCCACACTAAGCCACAGAAAGCACATTACAGCCACACTACAGCACATGCATAGCCACACCCTAGCACATTACAGCACAAAAAGCACACTACAGCACAGAAAGCACATTACAGCACAGAGCTCACCCTGAACAGATAGCACATCACAGCACAAAGAGCACAACATAGCACAGAGAGCACACTACATCACAGAGAGCACAACACAGCACGGAGCTCACCCCAGAACAGAAAATATATTACAGCACAAAGAGCATACTACAACATAAAATGCACAGAACAGAAGCGATAACACTGCAATACAGAGAACACACAGAAGAGAGCACATTCGTTACAGCACAGAGAATACACCCCCGTCACAGGGAGCACGTCCCATCACGAGAAGCACACCACACAAGAAAATTTACACTAAATTACGGAGAACAGGATACAGCACAGAGCACTCTACAACACAAATAAACAAAACAGGGTGGTTCAATATTTACTAGGAATACCTTTAACGGGTTTTAAAACTGTCGACAATCGATCATTTACAACCACGGTGGTCCGAACACATTCGCATTCACTAACAGAGTTGTCACACTCGGGTTTTCAGCCACAGGCTTCAGGCCAACCGTCTTACCCATTTGCTTATTTAAGAGAAAAATGATTGAAATATCTTGTATTTTATTTTAGTTTCTGTTAAAATATACACGTATTTATCGTGTAAAGAAGTAAAAAAGTAAATGTAAAGGTCGTTTGGTTAAATAATAGTTAGATCAAAATATAATTACACTTGCGATTAGCTTCTGGTCTGAAATAAGCAAATAAAAATGTAAAGGTGCAACGTTGTCAGGGGCAGCACAGTAGTGTGGAATTATTGCAGTACTCACGATTAGTGATTTTGAAACTCATTGATGTGTATACTAACAAAGGTTTGATAACGACCGACAAACGTTATCGAGTTATTTCCAAATGGCTACGCGAGCCTTTTCACATTTTATAAAGTCAGGAAACTGAAATTCCCAACCATTCACGACGCGGCCTGTATTGTGCTGAGAGGTATCGTCAGTTTAGCGAAAGATGCTTTCCTGTCACTGCAGACTTACATAACAACAAGAGCCTCTTTCACTATCTTCTCAATCCTGATCCTAAGTTATGATGGGCAAGATGACAATGGGAATTCTCCCGTTCGTCGCGTTTCCCAACCGCATTCAAGTTTAAGCATGCGAACCCACGATGAGAGTAAAGGGCACACAGCCAGACGTGACCTCGTGTAGCAAGGATGCAGCAAGAGCAGCAAGTGCGACGAGAAAAGATTATTAGTCTGCGAAATTACGCTCGCATTTTCATTGAAGTCGCCGAGTAAATATAGCCTGAAATTGAGAAGGAAATCAATCGAAGCAACAAATAGAAATCTGCTACGCTTTCTAAACTAAAACACATAATTATTCTTGTGATATGAAAATGTATTGTATGGCACTGTTGGTCATTATGTGCATCTTTCATCGTGCAGGCTGTTAACATTCGTATCACACTATGAACACTATAACGACATGCCACTTTGCACGGGGGTGGGGGGCTGTGTTTGTAATATATTATTTCCTTAAGTGATTTATGGCATTTATTTATAAACCAATGTAAACATCCCTTTAATTTGTGATGTTGATGATGTTGACGTTGGTCAACTAACAGCTATAATATGCTTAAGCTATTGTTGACGGCGCGCGAGATTACAGTACGCGTGTAGTACACGTCCTGGAAAACATAGAAAATGCTGGAAGATGGACCTTCTAAGTCGCTATACACCTGGAAGAGTCTGGTTCCTGGAGAACCGGATTGCTTTAAGTGTAAGAGCACTGAATAGCTTCTCTTTTTAGAATCCTAAAAAAAATTATAGCACGTGTAGGTCCTACTCTCTCTAATTTGTTTAATGGTCCCGTAAGCTTTGTGGTTCTGCACGATAGTGCAACCTACAATATTGTGATAGTTAGCTAGAAACCTGCTTTCGTTGTAATCGGATAGTTCGTTGTAATTGGATAGTACGTATGTTACACTATAAGTGTGCGTTAATTTTCACTCGGAACATGATTCGCGAATTCGCTCTGAATTTGCCGTCTGAAGTATTGGGGAGATTACTTGCAACAGGTGATAATCAGTCCGCATATAGAGTGTAGCCTCATAGAGGCGGGTTGTCTAGCAAAATCTTATTTGTTCGTAAACTCAAGTCAAGACTGTCTAAACTTCAGTACGATTAAACGGGCAGGGCCGACTGTCATAAACTGTCTAGACGCGACCTGTGCAGTAAGTTACGGTGACAGTTGGGTGTTTACTGCCATGATATGGCAATCGGATCTTTTCGAAAATCACTCCCATGGCGTTTCTCTCTCTGATTCGCCCCTTCTTCTTCCCCTTCCTCCCTTCCTTACCCCCTCATTCTCTTCTCCCGTCCCTCCCACCCCCTCTATTCGTCTTTCCCCCTTCCTTCCCCCATTTCTCCCCTTCTCCCTAACCCTCTCTCTGGCGTTCTTATGATATCGACGTTTTTTTTATTTTTATCGTGTAAAATTACAGCAAAGGGTCGGTTATCGCGTGTATTTTAGAAGCTTTGCGCTGCTACGTTCATAATAATTTGCATATTCGTGTTTCCTTGGTGCTGACGTCACGCTACGCAATATGGGTATATGTAGAGCTCTTGATGTTCGCCATTATTGCCATCGCTGCATGGTAATCATTTATAAATAATGTAATTAACAGAATAGTTGTTAAAGCAAATTGCGTCAAGTTGATCAGATAGCGTGTAAAATTAATTTCCTGTGTACTACGGGGCACTATGCTGACGGGGTGTCTCATTCTGCTCTTTTGTGTAGTTCTTAGACCATCACTTATCACGCGAATTCTGTTTTTCGATTACAAAAGATTTTTTTTAACAAATTTGACATTATGCACCAAACGGCAAATTATTTACCAAACGCTTGTCCGTAACATAGATTTGAACATTTATGGGACACCAGCTATCAAATTCGGGAATCAAGCAACTATTCCCACCGGAAATACTGCCGCGAAATAGCGAATGCTTAACGTTAGTCAATCATTCGAGTGTTCACACATCATGTACATATGCGTGCGTGCACTGCCAGAAACTCCACGCCTGTTATACATTCTTCTCAGTAATGTTCATCCAACAAGAACATTCGTGGAGATTTATCCGCTTTTATGCATACATATATATGGCAAGCCAAGTCTATGTCACTGTTATCAAGCACGTGGCCCGCCCTATGTACATCACTATTATCTTGCTATTATCAAACATGATATCGGTGCTAAGTACATCACTGTTATCAACCATGGTATTAATGCTAGGTACATCACTGTTATCAACCATGGTGTTAATGCTAGGTACATCACTGTTATCAACCATGGTGTTGAATGCTAGGTACATCACGTGTTACGCGAACCATGGTGTTAATGCTAGTACATCACTGTTTTATCAACCATTGGTGGTTAATGCTAGGTACATCACTGTTATTCCAACCACTCCGGTGTTAATGCCTAGTACATCACTGTTACAACCATGGTGTTTAATGCTAGGTACATCACTGTTACAACCATGGTGTTAATGCTAGGTAACATCACTGTTATCAACCATGGTGTTAATGCGCTAGTACATCATTGTTACCAACCATGTGTTAATGCTAGGTACATCACTGTTTAACTCACCATGGTGTTAATGCTAGGTACATCACTGTTACCAACCATGGTGTTACTGCTAGGTACATCAGCTGTTATCAACCATGTGTTAATGCCTAGGTACATCACTGTTATCACCATGGTGTGTTAATGCTAGGTACATCACTGTTATCAACCATGGTGTTAATGCTAGGTTACATCACTGTGTACCAACCATGGTGTTAATGCTAGGTACATTCACTGTTACAACCATGTGTAATGCTAGGTTACATCACTGGTACAACCATGGTGTTAATGCTAGCGTACATCACTGTTACACAACCATGGGTGTTACTGCTAGGTACATTCACTGTTATCAACCATTTGGTGTTAATGCTAGGTACATCACTGTTATCAACCATGGTGTTAATGCTAGGTACATCACTGTTATCAACCATGGTGTTAATGCTAGGTACATCACTGTTATCAACCATGGTGTTAATGCTAGGTACATCACTCCTATAAACCGTCTGTTCTACTGCACACGCAGCTTGTATGGGGGGGGGGGGGTGATCCGAATGTCCATGGAGCAGCAATGAACGACTGCTACAAACCGATAGTCTGTGTCTAGCGCGTGCAAAATGCAACAATGCTGAACATAAAACAACTCTTCACCATCGACTTGCGGTTTAGAGTTCGTATTCTAAACATAGCACTGAGCTTCGCTAATCTTTCTGCGTTATATTGTATAGAGTATAAATAAAAATTATCATAGTTCCTCCATGCAAAACCCACAGGAATCACGCGTGCTTGCCTTTCTCACAAATTATACATGCCAGGCATGAAACAGCACTTTGCCAGATTATTTCAATGGGTATTTACAATGCGCGACACCATGCCTTGAATACTTAATAGAAGCACACTGAAGCCATTACATTACAACTGATGTTCTTAACGAGATAAGAGCTCAAACACAATAAGAATGTATAGTTTAGGAACTCTAGTAAATGTATGTGGAATAATAGTAAATGATTTACTACGTAACCACCAGGGTTTCTTCCAACCATGCTAACATATTAGTAACATATGTAACACACATAGCTATATATACATACATAAACAAATCATGTATATACACATTACACTCAACAAATCTTTAATAATGCTCGGTTCTCTTTCCACTGTATTTTCAATTCTCTCCATATTTTTATCGCTAAACTGAAAGGGCCAATGTAAAATGTTGGGTGATAAAGTTTCATGTGGTCAGCCTTTTGAAATATAGATTTGTCGGTCGAATTGCAATATTTTCTGTAAACCAGACGATTGCACTTTTGCCTTGAGCGAATTCATTTGCCTGCACTCGGCGAATAGTAAGATTATTCCGCCTCCCGTGAAGGCTTCCCGTTTATTGCTGTCCACTGAAAGCTCTGTCCGCGGCTTGCGGCTATACGTAGTGAGGCACACTGCGCTCTCGCAGACGTAATTCTGTCATTGCGCGAGGTGTTCGTCGTACGTTTGCTCGCGAGCGGTGACTCGATGCTAAACCTCGGCGTGCGATTACAACACGGCGGATATCTACCCTCTGAGTTTCCGCTCCATTGATACAGCTCGGTGTGACGGTTGCCGCCACATCACGCTACTCGCTGAGCGGGTGTGTTCGACCAGCAGTGTTTTACAATGCGTAATATAGCGTGCGTATAGCGAGTTGAACCATGCGTGTCTATGGAGCTTCTTTATTCTTTTCGTTCTCCTACCCCCCTCCTCTTTCTCCTTCACCGCAGTTCGCATTAGGGCACCTTTAGTGAAGCCCATCTTACACACGCAACATCGACAGTTGGCGCCGTTCTCATCTCGCGCGTTCCGTAATTAGTCGTGCTGCCTCTTTCCATCACTTCTTTGATCGTCAATGAAATCGTTGAACTAAAAAAATCGCAAAGCTAGAATCGTCCCCGGATGACTGCAAGCTAGAAGCAGCATGAATGGCGGCTAACGCGGTTAAGGCTTCTTTCTTTATTGTTGCAGAATTCTACAGACAGAGAGAAAAAGAGAAAGAGAGAGATTCTTCGCCATACCGTCTAACAAGTCGATGAATTGCGATCTTTCACACGCAAGCAGTGCGTGCGTTCCCTGAACGAAGGCGCTCGGGTCACATTTGCGCGTGACAGGCAGCTCGTCCGGCAGGTGGCGTGCTTTCAAGCCTACGGCACTCTTCGCTACGAGGCCGCTGCTACTGACCGACGACTAACAGTTGCTGAGTAGCGGCGATACGGGACGGGGAGGTCATGCGGAGAGCGTGGTTCGTGCGCGCCGCGGTTTGTACACAATCTGCTAGCAAACGTTAGTAGCATCGCACGCAGGTGGCGCACGCAGCTAGGGGACTAGTGCGACGTGACATCTCGACTCCCCGTGCGCGCGTCGAGAGAGATCCTCACGGGATTGCGTCGACGATACGAGAGAGCGCACACAATCGGCGCTAATGCACGTAACACGGCGAGCCGCGCCTTGGGCATAGCCCCCATAATACGCTGCGAGCAAGAGCAACGTCGTGCGAGTAAGTCCTATTTCGCGGAACAGCGGTGCGAATTTTCTCGAGATTCAATCAATCTCGGGCAACACCGCGGCTGCCCGCGCCCGTCGCCGCCGCGTATATTCACTGACCCTCGCGCGCGAGCGTTGCAGTCGGCGCGCCGCACGCACGGCGGTCAGCGCGCATGTCTACGACTAACGGCGCGCTGTCGGCATGATGCTCGGCCAGCGAGCAATGGACGCCGACTACAACGCGACGCACGTCGCCGACGACGATCCGTCGGCCGACACGCCGCGCTCTGCCGACCTCCTGCACGCCGTCAGCGTCGGCGGCGCGCTGTGCATCGTCAACGTCATCATCGTCTTTGGCAACGCGCTCGTGCTGTACGCGCTCTACAAGTGCCCGCAGCTGCAGACGCGCACGAACGCTCTCGTCGCGTCGCTCGCCGTCGCCGACTTCGTGCTAGGCGTGACCGTCATACCGTTCCAGACGGGCAACACGATGTTCGCCTACTGGCCGTTCCATCCGACCTACTGCCAGATCCACGGCTCGTTCGACGTGTTCAGCACGACGGCGAGCATCCTGCACATCTGCCTGATCGCCATGGAACGCTTCGTCGCCATCATCACGCCGATGAAGTACAACATGTATGTGACGGAGCGCACGATTCGCGTCTCGCTCGTCATCGCGTGGATATTGTCGGCCGCCAACGGCACGGTCATCTTTATCCCGAGCCTCTGGCACGACCCCTACTACGACTTTGTGTACAACGATCCGAACCTGTGCGCGCTGATGCTCGGCAATCCGTACGCGCAGATCGACAGCGTCTTCATCTACTTCCTGCCGATGACGATCGTGCTCATCGCCTACGCGTGCATCTGGTGGGCGGCGTGGAAGCAGACGCGTCGCATCCTCATGCGCTCCGAGTACGTGGACAGCAACAGCGGCGGCGGCGGCGGCGGCGGCTCGCAGCACACCGTCACGCTGCACCAGCTCGCTGAGATGAAGGCGACGCGCACGCTCGGCATCGTCATACTGGCGTTCGTCGGCTGCTGGCTGCCCTACTTCATCCTGACGCCGCTCGAGGCGAGCTGCCACTGCGTCAACGATAAACTCTACCTGATCGCCATCTGGCTCGGCTACGCTAACTCGGCCGCCAACCCGATCATCTACTCGATCTGCAATCAGGGGTTCCGCGACGGCTTCAAGCAGATACTCGGCTGCCACGCGGGCGTCATGAACACGCTGTAGGCTCGGCGCGCAACCACCTACCCCCTCCCACTACACCAAGGTTCACCGATCCCCCCCCACCCGATTACCCGATCCCCCCCCCCACCAAAAAGCGGACTCTCATTATCTATCGAGCAACTTGGCTCCGTCTTATTGTCTGAGGTCCGTTGCCAAAAACATCGTGAATAAATGTGAGATCGCAAGTCACAAATGGCATAACTTTCGAAGTGAATAGTACTGCAAAGGGTTTCTGCGAAATACTGCGAATACATGCATTTTAGAGTTATATGAGAGTCGCAACTATTAGTGAAGTTTCTAACAACGGGCCCCTGGCTCGGGGGAGAGAATATAGGCGGGATACCTCTCGCAATGCAACGTCGCATGACAACCTGCCATGCGTGATTGACAGCCAGCTCTAGCCAATAACCACGGTGATAGGACACTCTAAAACACAACGCTTGGCAACGAAGTGCCGCAAAGACGATATTATTGCGTGCACTTGTGAAAGACGCGCGTCAGAGCTATAGCTTCACCGTCCTGGCAACACTAACTAAGGGGGTGTGTGTGGTTATCGCATGCCGACAGACGGATGTGCCGATTATATGAAGGCATCGCGAGCGACCGTTACATCATGCGCGGTAGGTTCAGACGAAGACTCTCTGAATTCAGCAAAAACCCGCACAGCCATCACATGCTATTGCATATTTACACTCCCCAGAGTGGGGAGCCTGAGTAGTCCGCCCATTTGTTGCTATTTTTGTTAAATAGAAAAAGCATCGACGATGAAGAGAACGTACTATGAATAGGACAAAATAGCATTGTCGCTGTGTGTGACAGGAAAATTGATGGCCTGTAGGGTCAAAGCTAATGGTTACTCAGTCAGGAGCTGACAAGCTGTATTTTTAAAATTAAGAAAATACATTTTTACTCTAGGGAGCGTGTAATTATTGTGGAAATATACTCTAGAGAGTTGAAAAAGACAAGGGGCAAACCACTTTACTATGTTGCACATATATATATATATATATATATATATATATCACTTGTGAGTTGCCAATGTTGAATGACAACGCATATAGATTGCTGCACATTGTATTTTGCAACTGATAGCTATGTTATTGCAAAGTAATTGTAAAAGCCACCTGCCAATATACTCGTACACGGACGAAAATCAAAGGGTCACTATATGTGCACACGTATAAACACAATGTATATATATAATCAACAACAGTTGACCGCACGTAATGCATATTGCACATACCGCATCCCCATCTAGTCACGTCGTCATGCTTTGAACTTTGAGTCGCGCGCCTAATGAATATTTAATCCGCGCGAAATGATAGATAATTAACGAAGGCAATGAATATTCATATTTTGCGTAAGATGCTGACAGCAAATTCGTCAAGGCGGACGGGAAGGAAGAGATTTGTTTTAGTGTCATCGTAGTAGCAGATAAGATGTGGCACTCACATGCCGACTACAACACTGACATTGGTTATCGTATGATTCTACGCAAACTACGGGTACAACGTTTCACGTGTCGCCTACTCGACATGGGCTTTTCATAGTATCCAGAACTTCACAGTAGAAAGCCAACATGATTATGTAACACATATAGAATAATCTAGCTATAATATTAAACGAATAGGGCCTCAAACTATGCAAATACGTTTGAGCAAGACGTTACACTGTCGTTAGCTGTTGGCAACTCTGTGATCAACTTATCCGATATATACGTACATTACGGACAATCTCACGGTAAATGTAAATGGCTATGTTTCAGCCAAGCAGTGCGTCCCAGAATTATAATATTCAAACATTGCATAATTATTGTTAGCCACATACTCTGTGTGCCTCGCTCACGAGGTTTGTAAATAAATCCGTTATTATATTACAATATTTCCTGCTTGCATTATTTACTGATACACTTGCTTCCTGTTTTACTTCTCTACACTCTCTCAGCGTAGTGCAAAGCCATAAAAGTAGACGCGAAGCACATTACTACCGTCGTATGATGGCAAACAGCAGAGTCGGATTTATATTAGCTGGAGTTAAGCCGTATAGTAACGGCAAACCGATATTGCAACGGCGACAGAAACAATGCCTCAAGAACGCTTCATACGCGGCCGTTTTCTGCCGATTCCCGGTCAGTCATATTGATAAAACGACATGAACGTCAAGTCGCGATAGGATTTTGGTAAGCGTGCTAGCCTACTCAGAAGTGACTCGACGAAAAACGTTAACGGTTGACAACGGTCATAATATACAGAAATAATTGCTCGTAGTATTAGTGAACGCTCGAAGCTATAGGCATATCGAATTCAATATCCATGGGTTCATTTTATACGGGAAACGATAGAAGGGATAGTGTATCACATAGCATGAACGAATTAAATCCTCAACGGAGTCAAATTAATAAAGAATTCTTTCCCAGGATTGGAAAGTGGAGCACATTGAGCTAGCCTGCAGTTTAAATGAAGTTTCCACTAATTAATTTGAAATTGTGTGTCATTAACGACCAAATACATTAATTTTAGCATTTAACATTGGACTTCAACTAATTACCCCCAGGTTCTGTGCACTTTCATAAGGTAAAAATAATGCATTTCCAACATGAAAGAAATGTGTTATTATCTAAATCTTACTAGCCTTTACTTATCCTATACCTAGCCTTATGTTAACACTTTAATGCTAATTAATTATATACATAAAACTAACCCGATTTGTATAAATAAATTGAAGCAAAAACTGAAAAATGCCTCATGAGATTTAAACACAAGATGAAACATGTGAAAGCTCATAACAAAATTTTTGTAATAATTATAGGAAAATCTGCATGAAAATAATACTAAAGAAATGGATCTACACGTGATTAGCACGTTTGCAAACCTCTAATTCAGCTGCTTTATGTAAACACTTGCTAGTTCTCATTTCACTATGTAATAATATTTGCTTTACATTAGCAGCTCAGGATATAAGCTTAATTGTGTTTTATTAACAAGTTGCCATCAATTAGCCTGCATTGAATGAGTTGTTCAAACGTTAGCTAAGTGGGAAATTGCCCAATGATCTATAATAAGAACCTAAAAGGATATACGTCTTTTGTATACTGACGTTTTCTTCTACTTCCAATTCTTTTGCTTCTAACTCCACTACTGTATTTTTTCTGTTTTGAGTTTTTACTTCCCTGCCGCGAAAACTAGCATAACAAAATTGTCGTGACATTAAAATGCCAGCAATTATTTATCACTTACATAGAATAGCCATGTTATGTTTTCCAAACATTAAAATACTTTCTTCTTGTTTTTCAAAAATGGAAAACAATATTATTTTTTAAATATTAGTTAAGATGAGTAAAAAACACATAAAAGTATATGAACACTAGGCACGCATGAAAACGCATTAAAAAATGGACACGGTAATAATGTACCACTATACAGGTAGTATGACTGAATTCTGCATATCTCTGAACTTTCCTTCATATTGAGCTGATGAGGGTAGCAAATCGGCTAATGTTTCACACCCTAAGGAGCACAGCAAATAACAGAATGATCCGATGAAAACAATGCATACCTATTCCAAACTGGAAGCTCGAGCTTCTAGAATTTTAGACTTCTAGCATTCCAGACTTCTAGCATTCCAGATTTCCAGCATTCTAGACTTTTCCACATAAAAAGATCCTTATTGTGAAATTTGCCTATTTGGCTGCGGCTACATAATTAACAGCTAGTTCCTCAAGATGCCTATAACTGAAAGAACCCATCTAATATTGTCACCCCCCCCCTCCACCACACACACGCGCACGTACGCACGCGCACACACACATGCACACACACACACACGCACGCACGCACGCACGCACGCACGCACGCATACACATAATATATAACCTAACAATTTGTGAGTATGTTAGAATCTAGTCATTTTGAGTACTATCTATTTAGTTTAATGAAACATTCTCACCCATGTCAATGTGGTGTGTGCTGTGTGTGTGTGTGTGTGTGTGTGTGTGTGTGTGCTGTGTGTGTGTGTGTGTGCCCGTCGCTGGGGCTCGCTGTGTGTGTGTGTCACTGTGCGTGCGTGTGTGTGTGTGTTTGTGTGTGTGCACGTGCGCACGTTCGTGCGTGCGTGCGTGTGTGTGTGTGTGTGTAATAGATTTATATCTCAGCACTCAGAACAGCATTATGCAGGGCAACAACGACTTTATGATTAATATTAGCTGCAAATTCTCACGTAAGAACTAATTCAATCTGCATATTAAGAATATATGTACGTTTTCTGCAAATTGTATTATTCTCAGATAACGTCGATACAGAAATCTTTAAAAATGGTGACCATTGATGCCCTTACTTCTTCTATGTTCGAATTTGACATGATCTTATTATATCATCACAATTGACATTAACTAGAATGGCAAAAATTGCACTCATTCACACAGAATATGTAGATAATCAACTATCAGCAGTCGGTTAAACTTCCATATAGGCCTACCATATGATGAACGCCGTTTATAGCTATTTCCCAAATGAACAAATTTATTACCAATCATTTCCGACTGCACGATCTATAGTTTCGACTACTCGTGAGCCATTATAGCTGAATAGCCATTCAATTCCCCCACCATATATTTGGTAAAGTAAGCAATCAAACTAGAGTCATAGCTTAAAATGCAATTAGTTTTCACGTAGCACCACGCAACATATTGTTATAATTCGCAAACTCATCGAAATATTTTAACTCATTGATGGGCTAATGCATCATCATTTAATGTCTGCAGAAAAATGAAATAATAGGTTCATGACAGTGTGTCCTGTGTTAGTAATCTGAATGTATTGCGGGGAATCTTGTGAACACTATCCGTATCGCTTAACCCTCAACCTAACCGTTAGAAAGCATTGGCATATCTGCAAGATGCAATAGGTAATCAAAATCCCATTTGCAAAACTATCTACGGATTTTACACCGACTTGTTTTTATAGTAGCCCTTATTGATAACTGTAATTTAACTCTCCCACCCTAGAAGAAAACGAACTTATGCCGCTGTACCGTCCACTATTATAATAATTATCTGCATGTACCAGTGTGTAGGTGCTCACAGTTTCGCATGATAAAGTACACGACACACACACACACACTAGCGCCATCTGTTGTCTCATGTATTTTTTAAACTTTTTTGTCTCTAGAACGCGTATGAAGCGATCTATAAGCGAGGTAAATGAGCTTGTCAGTGCACCTGTGCTGGGTTCCACTGATAATGCCCTCAGGTCGATCAAATACAGCCAGCTGAGACAGTATTGCTTCGTATTAGAATTGCACGCAATCTGAGTTGAATAACAGAGGAAACATACGGCAGGTGTCTTCATTACCTTGCCGACCACCTCGTCACCGATGTTATTCATATGTGCTGCTGAGTTCTACACATTTTCTACAGATTTTATCCATTAAAAACTGCCAGTTTATTGCAGACAAACATGTAAAAAATGACTCAAAGATAGTTTCATATCAGAGGAATATCAATCCTGCGTGATGACAAACAAACTTCAATCACTCACCATTTTTTAAACAATAATGAACAATAATTCTGAGCCCTATTATTTTAGCTATATGTAGATGATGATTAATAATAGTCATATTTCATATTTATACTGCACTTCCATTAGGCACACCATCATTTCTAGTTACTATTAAAAATGTTCCAAAATGTATATTTTTCCTATAAACTACTGTAATACTTTTACGACTATGACTTCTCACTTGTTGACTGTCAGAGATATTCAGCCATCTTTTCCAAGGGAATACGGGGGAGGGGGCACAAACCAGTAAGAAAGTGAAATGCACTGTTACAGCCTTTATTTGATAGATCTCTCTATGGTTTCAGACAAGCAGTAACGTGGAGTTTCTGCTTAAGACCCCAGACTGCTAGGTAATCTGTCTATTTCGCAAACCAAAGGAGATAGCAGCTGCATTGACCACCAACAATGGTGAAGTCTTTGAAATAAATTCTGCTCGAGACTCATTCGCTTACACATAGCTTAGGGAAAACTTGTTAATAAACAAACAATATATAACTAACTAGAGCACTCGGAGAGCACAGACCACCGCCAAGGCAGCTGAATTCTCTCAATGTGAAATTTTTTATTAATTAATTAATTAAGTGGGAAAATTAATTAATTAATTAATTAATTAAATAATTAATTGGATCCGGATTAGTGCGAGCGTGCAGGTGGGGGAGGACTGTGGTTGCCCCTTAGCCTGTGGTTGCGTGTTTGTGAGTCTACAGCCAGCGCACCTAGCGGAAGTGAACTGAAATGTGCATGGTAACAAACACACAAACCCACAAACACACAAACCAACACTCAAAGACACGCCGGTGAAAACATAACCTCCGCCAAGCCCCTGGCGGAGGTAATTACAGTTAGGGTTATAACTAACAACTATAACTAAAACTAACAATATATTAACCAATAGACCTTTTCATCAAGAACATTGATTAGTTTTCTATAAACATTTCAGAATGCCAAAGAATGCCTGCTAACATTGGCTTAGCTCTTATATATATATATATATATATATATATATAGATAGATCGACATATGTAAGTTGTAACAGCTTACCTGATCTGGGTCGTATTGGCCTTTAGGATTGGTAGCAGCTATAATAGTAGTTCTTGCGCTCAACTTGCAAACTAGGCCAGCCTGCATAAAATTTACAGATATTATATCTCAAAAACTCACGTAGCCCTATAGTCATTGAATGCGTTCAGTAAATTTGGTGACAAAAATTTACATCAGTGATAATTGGTAATTTGAGGCTAAGATGTTATATAATTTTATGAAAACTGATTCATAATATTATTGCATGTGTATCTTCTTTTGCTGTAGTGTAGACTGTGTCACCTTAGCAACACTGATTGTCTGCTGCTCCATGGCCTCGTGTATGCTTGCTTTGTCGTGTTCTCGGATACTGCTGAATTCATCAATGCAACATATCCCTCCATCTGCCAGCACCAATGCCCCAGCTTCCAACTGCCATTCTCCCGAATCCTACACATTACAAAGCATTCAGATAAACTGACAAGTGACGATCACGGCATCTGTGCTCGCAAATATCAAAAAATGCACTTCAACCTCATCTATTTCCTACAACCCAATGCCACCCACGGAGTTATAGGTGTCATTATTTTCATCCATTGCATTTTACTGTAATATTTATTCAGTCGGTATTTAATAGCAGCAGAGCTAACTGTCTGAAGATATGTACCTCATTCAAAAAATGTACTGCATTCGCATGGTTCTTACGATGATGTTTGCGAGAATGAAAGCTTCACGGTTATGATTGTGAGCATACAAGGTGCGTGACTGCACAATTAATAAACTTCAAATGCTGGCAACAATGAACTCGAACACGCGATACTTTCAACCTGAGTATCGCTGCCAGGGTCTATGTCTCCCTGGGTACTGCTGGAACGTACCCTGGTACTATATAATATGCCGGACCGTACCTCGCCTACTCCACTAACGAGTCTAGGGAATCGCCTACGCCTACTCCCTAACCCTAACCATATCAGATAGTTACCGTACCCAGGGTCCGTTCCGGCAGTACCCAGGGAGACATAGACCCTATCAGCCAGAGTATCGTACAAAGAGAGCACACCTTAACAGCTGTAACAGTCAGCCCTGCACTGGTACTGCCTAAGCCAGTCGTGAGCACAGATCGAGGGGTGATCTTGGCAGCATACTTCAGAAATTGTGACTTACCAGTGCCTACAAACAGGAAAGTTGTCGTTATGTTACAACAGCATTTGTGTTGCATGAAATTAATTGCTTTATGGAACTAGTTCTCAGTAATCAGGTGTATGGTCATACTTTCTGAAAAAAAATTCAGAAATTAATGAGAATGTACTACCTCAAATTTTTAGGGCATAGAATTAAAATGACTTATCTAGTTACTAAATGTAACTTCTTACCAGGATCCCCAACTAGGAGCAAGTGTGATTCCCCTCTAATTTTTGTACCCCTCTCATTCTCTTTCTGTAATAAAAATCAGAATTCCTAACCAAACAGCAGAAATGAACTTAGCTGGTATATCATTATAGCTTGAGGTTCTTTTGAAGCTGGTATAAATTTTATGACATTAATATGGTTATTTTAAGTAAATGTTACAGCCATAAACACACCAATTTACTTTCATTATAAAATAGAGCATGACTCAGCAATTTTACAGGTGATGTTATGAGATAGTTTATATTAGATTCCTGTATATTTCCTTTATCAGTCATTTCTTATTTAACAGTGATAAAAAAAATACAAATTCACCTGAACACCTCCGACCAGCACTAATGCCACAGCCAGTTTCACCACATAGAGGCCATACACTTGTGGACAAAGGCTTGCGATAATAGCATTTCTACCTTTAAGAGGCGACTGCTTGTATTCATCCCAGAATTGCTTGAACTCCTCTTGCTGAAATAAATGTTTAGAAGGATGCTCATAGATATGATTTTTTTCACTTGAGACCTTGTGCTCCGTTCATTATCATAATCACACCAATATTATGATAACTCTATCACATGGTTCCTGACATTATATGTTAAATGACATTCAAATTGACTATTTCAATTGTTATACCTGTTTTAACATTTCTATACAAACTAGTTTAAAGTCGTGTGAAGTTGTGAATATATCACCAAACCTGTTAAACAGTATACAAGTAAATAAAACTACTCTACTTTCCCTGAATCGAGTATATTTGCCAATAACCTATAGCTTACCAGTTCATCTGTTGCACTGAAATTCCCCCTTTGTGCATTGTTCACTTGGATATGATTTGCTTCCATGACCAGCTCTGCATCAGGTCTGCTGTCGATACTCAACGATCTCCATCTCTTTCTCACCACTCCACTGTTAAGACAAATACAGTCACAGGGTTCTCCCCAGGATGAAATTCAAACAGGGGGGAGAGGAGGGGAGGGGGAGGGGGAGGGGGGAAACTGGGGGTCCGGGGGGCGTGTGTTTTTACCGTATGACTAATTAATGCGTAAAATCGCCACCACACCATAGACGGTATTTGGGGTTCTTGTATATATAACTATAAGATAGCCGAGTCGGTGTACAGTTAGTTACAGGTTAACTTGTTTACTGTCTGCAGTGCATGCGTGGTACGGTAAAACTACACGCGTCGGGTGTCCTGGTCGAACGGCAATTCTTGACGGTCGATTCGCGCGCTGGCAAACGTATATTGTGGTGGAATTCAAACGGGGCGGAGGTAATTCAAACGGGGCGCAACGATTCAAACAGGGGGGAGTTTTCCCAAACGGGGCGCGCGCGCCCCGTTTGCGCAACGTAGGGAGAACCCTGAGTCATGTTTCCATATGTTTTTTATATATATATTATTTATGTAATGAGCCCATTATAAATGAGCTCGCATCACGAATAAACGGCATTAAGATTCAATCACGACAACAACATGTATGAGACAGGCATACACAACAATCACGGAAGATGCAACTATTAAGCTACCAGATGGTGACGTCATCGCCGGGTTTACATGAATCCACGAGATCGTCAAGCAGCACTACGGCCATGGATCGTGGAATGCTGCCCATCGCCAGCTTCTGCACTTGCTCCTGCAGCTTCAGCTCCTGATAGTCTCGACACTGGGTGCATCCTAAAAGACAAAAAAAAACCAGCTAAGAAAATCAACCCATCAGGCCTTCAAGCAGGTGAATGAGTCAGTGATTATTTGCAACGGCAGACAAGCTGAGCGAAACTCTGGTGGCGTTCGATTGTGAATGAGCTAATCAATGATGAGCTCGCTCACAATTAAGCTATCACGGAGTTACAACTCTAGATAGATAACCATAGCAGAGGTATCAAGAATGACAGATGCAAAACTACTGTGTAGTCGAAACCTGCCCAACTTACACTTCACACGTTATGATATTTGAATCATAATTATTATATATGTTATTGGTAGAGCTGCAGCATATAGACGAGCAATAGATGAGACACAAATTATTAATTTTTGGTGTAACTAATAACTATAAAAATTCATCTTAGCTTGTCTCCTGCACCTATCATATTTCTACTAGCTGGCTTATAATTTGTTCGCCAATACATGTAATTAAGACTTGATTTTTGTACTGCGTATCATTCTCGTAAGTTATATTTAACATGATAAACCACCTGGACCAGACTGAGGAGTGAACTTCACAGAATTGCAGAGATCTGGGTTTGAACATCTGCCTGGCCGGCTGGTTGTCAGGAATTGCTCAAAATCCGCCTGAAATATAAATTGCTATATGCACATGCAATATTATACAAGTTTCAACTGTAAACACTGAAGACGACTCTCAACTGCACACTGTTTCAATGAAGTATTTAATTGAATTATTTCATCTTTGAACATTTTCAATTGCAAAGACAATTAAATCCACATAGCCTTTACTTACTTCTACCATGAAGATATAGTTGCATTTATTGCACATGTATTTCTTCCCATACTCCAACATTTTAACAAGAGTTGTCCTGATAACAGTCCCAGATACAGACAGGAAATTTCCTACATCACAAGTCCTTGGAATATTTGATCGAGTCAGTTCAGGGCACACAGGTAAGCCTGTCAATCTCCCATGTATGTTTCGTTTCAATGCCTGCGAAAAGAAATTCATAAAACATACAGTTAGCATGCACACTCACGAGCCATATAATACAAATTGCTGTACTTCTATTAAGTTTTATGGATGTGGCATTACCATAGCCTCTTCTTTTTGTGGATGCCTCCTGTAGATATCTTTGCTGACATTAACAAGACAACTGTCTAGAATGGGTAAAACTTGCAGAGGATGATTCAAGAGCAATTCACTGATCTCCATGTTGTCTTCGAACATTGTGAGTGCACTCAAATGATAAAAAATGAAATACATATTAAAGATGCAATTTGAAAAGAAAATTTTCACATAGTGAGTACCTACACTGAACAAGAATATTGAACAGAATATCATGCTATATCAACTGTATTATATATGGAAAGAAAAAACAAGTTATTATGAAACTGCTATTAGATAAAAACTAAGAGATTTGGAGGATTGAATGACTTACTTGATAACAACAGAAAAATGCTGGCTTTCATCTTCTTGCAGAAGTATTGTCAATAAATCTTCTTTGTGGTGTGCCAAAGCATATGACTCGAAAAAAGCTGAAATAGCACAATGTAACCCAAAGTATTGAACTGGCAACAAGAGACAAGCTAATTAACAGGAAATAATGAGTTATGCTAATATAGGAACTCTTAGGAACTTTCACATATACCCTGTAGAAATTTTTAAAGAAATCTTCTTAATAGAAGTAGCAGGGAATTTGGAAGACAGTCAGGCAATCAATCATTGAATAGACACCTGATAGTAATTAAAGGTCATTTTTCACACATTCAGTTTCATTTTCCAAAGAATTTTGTCCAGTGATTGTTTTTGAAATTAAATACTGTTGACTCATCCATGTCACCAGTTTATTCACACATGTGTGCATAGAGCATAGAAATAGATAAACATAGTGCAGTGCCATGACAACAGTCTTCGAATTTAGCCGGGCGTCAGGCGCCCGAGACGAGAAAGGTTCACTTGCCCGATGGGCTCCTGCTTTAAAAACTCATAAACTATGATACAACTGGCCATTAACTAAAGGTTTTTAATTTAAAAGCAAGAAATGTTAACACCAGAAACGAATGGCATCTGGAAGTTGTCTGGTGTACACTTCTTTACTCGATATTCCAAAAATATTCCTGCAAAATATAGGTATGGGTAACTAGAATGTCATTCGGGCATGCATATTTTATAGAATACTTGCCCGAAGTAGATTTCAATTCATACATTGTTTTCAGATTGAATTAATGCCTAGAAGGTGCAAACTAATTTGTTGTAATATCCAGTGCATATAATGCCTCGGAATGGAAGCAGCTGTCTGGTCTTACCCTGGCATAATGCTACATCTGTCGTTGACATCTCTAAATCTATATTGTTGCCAGTTCTTTGTTATTGCTGCTGGTCATGATCTTGATGTGTCACACTGGTGAAGCAGGTCACCTTCAAACAATATATAAAAATATATAATTATACAATATATATTTATTTATTTTATATATATATATATAATATATATATATATATAATATATATATATATATATATACTATTATAACCCTGTCAGGACAACCTGAGTTACATTAACTCACCCATGCCCATATGTAATTTGTGAAATATGACCATTTTACTCACAATATAAAATTAAAATTCACTGTTATGTAAATTTTCACAAGAACGAGTAGGGTTTTCCAGCCAATAAGTGGTGTACTCGTTTGACGTAGCTTGAATGTTTTCTTGTCCGAACTTTGATTTTACTTGTCCGAACTTTGTTTTTACTTGTCCGAACTTTGATTTTACTTGTCCACAATTTTTTTTGGTTCTGTGCACTACATTTTTGGTTCAGTGCATATCATATTACAGTATATATTGTATAAGCTGTATATTTCGCGGTGGTTTAAATTGACTACGTCACGAATTTTCTATGGTAAAATTGTTAACATTTTTCTTGCCATTTTTTTACATTAAAAGTAAGTACTAACGGGACTAAACGTATCGTCAAATTCTTACCTGATAAGATTGTTTCTCAACTAGTTAAAAATCCAAAAAACCTGGACGATTTGATATTATGTTCCTGACATTAATTGCTTGCTATGGACTATGTATAAGTCACGAGTGTATGTTCACATCGAACAATATAGTAAAATAGGAAGTATAATGCAGCAATTTAACCATAAAAAGTAAACAGAATTACTTGTATTTTGTGAAAAAGTGGAAATGTTTTTTTTAATTTTACTATTTACGGTGACGTAATCACTTTAAATTCTGCGAATTTCACAAACACATCCTCGGCCGCGAAAATAACAACACGCGAATAATACCGAATAATCCATAATTCACAGACTGCGAAATTAACCACTCGGGAAATTGTCCGTCAAGTCTGAATTCGGGAAAATATCTGTACGTGAAAAATATGGTGTATACAGTACACGGAAAATAATGAAATTTACACGTTTATTTTTGCATGCCAGCACACTCGTGTGTCATTCCCGATTGCAGCTTTTCCCTCAATTCCAGGAGAGTTTTGCTGTCGCTCTCTCATAGTCATACCAGTGGCAGTGGTGCCCACCCCCTACATATAATTCAGTGATCAACATGCCCGACGCGACTGAAACAATCGTGCGCTACACTCCCCAGTACTAAGTACTTCAATCAATGCTGCCCCAGCCAGCAGGCATGTACGCATGTTGCGTTGTGCGATGTACTGTTGAGTAATTGTCAAGATCGAGTGACAGATCGACGTTTACAACCATCAGATGTAGATGTGCACGGCCACAGACGTGGGTAACACGATATACGTGCTCACTGCCCTGACCATAGAAATAACCATGGTGGGTTCTATGCCTATATATATGCCTATGGCATTCTTAACCAGTATGGTAAGGAACTTAGTATGGCATTCTTAACCATGGATGATGGTTAGACTTAGCTCCAAGAAACGGTATCGCTAGGGTTAGGATACCCTAGTATAGACAATCCGTATAGTATACCTGTACCCCTGTATAGACAATCCGTCGCACAGCCTGGTCGGGCTAGGTTAGACTTAACCCGACCAGGCTGTGTGACTAACGTCAATACACCAATAATAGAGCGTATAATAATAACAATAATAACGTCAATACACCAATACACCGTCAATAGGGTATTCTAACCCTAGCAATACCGTTTCCTGGAGCTAGGTTAGACTATACTATTTCCATGGCCCTGACTATATACCGTATATAATACATAATAGTTAATAACTTAATACGTAACGAATGTTTTCCGTACAGGTTCAGCCGACATTGACTTTCTCGGTCTAACAACCTCCATCATTTATGTTTCCTTCAAAGGCAATAATTGTATAACATTAACCAAACCAGCACTTAGAAAACAAACATATAGGGACCTACTCATAAATCAAACATTGAAGTTTCCCGCAATCAACGCGCCACCTATATTTGACTGCTCACTTGATCATGCGGGAAATTTGATACCAACGATTTTGCTTAAAGCCGCACTATGCGCATCCAAACGCTAATTTCTCCAGTACTAGACTAGCAAATACTTCGTGTCATGCATAATCACACTACCTTATAGCAAAATAAACTCTAGTTCCTCCCATTTCACTGCGCGTTTGCTTAAAACCCACAAGAAAGAAGTGCAAAATCTGGTAATCTGGCGCCAACTCTAAATTGTTTGCCAAACAATTTCGCCAAGAATCGGTTAGGTGACGTCACATGTTTTTATCTTTGCTACACCCGTACCGCTGTACCGCAGCACCGCTGCACGGTTGCTTGGGAGAGCAACGCGAAAGTGTCAACAACATCGGAGAATTTGAACAACATTGGAGGTATTTTCAAATGCCTTTTATAAGACAATTCGCACAGTGAAATGGGAGGAACTAAAGTTTATTTTGTCGTAAGGTAGTATGATTATGCATGACACGAAGTATTTGCTAGTCTAGTACTGGAGAAATTAGCGTGTAGATACGCATAGTGCGGCTCCCTCAGTTACTGGACTGAAAGTCCCTGGCTATATATATCAGTTAATTTATTAAATCATTTAATTTAGAGAGTGGCATGCCTAGAGAATGTGCGCATCGAAAAATGCACCCGCCTTATTTAAATGTGGTGGCGTTGCTCTGTCGAAGGTCCTTTTCTTGTCTAGAGTCCCTTTATATTTCAATATAAAGCTAGGGACTCTAGAAGGTAGATACAATAATGTAACCCAAACCCAAGAGGATAATTACGGGTCCTCTTGGGTTTGGGTTACATTATTGTATCTATCTAGAAGGTACCTGTCTACACTGGCGTAGCTAAGGGGGGGCACAAGGGGGCCATGGCCCCCCCTGTTGATTGGCAAACAAAACAAAACAAAAAAATTTTCCTTGCCTCTCACGCGTCTTCACAGGACTGGCCACAATTCCTGTTACTTCTGCATCTGCTGAACGAACATTCTCTAAAATGAGCATTGTCAAGTCTAAACTTCGTTCTACAATGACCCAGCCACGATTCTCTGCTCTCATTCTCCTTTTCGTTGAACAGGAGTTAGTGAATGACATTAATGTCAACGAAATCCTCAAAATGTTCTGTGCATGCAAAATCGACGAGAAGACTTGACTTTGGAATTTGAGATTTCTGCAGCAGACAAAAACATGACTAAAAGAAAGGAGATAATTCTTCTTTGCTCAGATTTGTGTTGTTGCAAGT